CAGAGCATCCATGTGCCAAATTTCATCAAAATCCAATGAGTGGTTCTTCAGATATCAGTGGAACAGTCTTGGGACAGCTAAAAATCAGCTAATTATCATGCAAATTAGGTAATTAATATTCATAGATTTTTACCAAAACCTAATCAACTCTGCGCATTATCCCAGAGCATCTATGTACCAAGTTTCATCAAAATTTGATTAGTGGTTCTTGAGATAACGGTGGAACAAAAAAAGTGACATACATACATACATACATACATACATACATACATACATACATACATACATACATACAGACATACATACAGACATACATACAGACATACAGACATACAGACAGGGTAACTGCAAAGACTCCCTTTTGTGCTTCGCACACGGGAGTCAAAAAGTACAGAATAATTTGGGCGAGAACATCTGGTGGTGTTGTATGTAACATACATCATAACATATCGGCAGTATAGCCGTATCAGAATCCTACTTGATCCAGACATCTATAAGTTTCATATACATATATACACTTAGAATTTAATATTTCACTGTCAAGATTATTTCACTGAAAACAATATATGCTTAAATTGCACCCAGTTTTATTTCAGAATGTATTGATTACTTCAGAAAATATCAATTTAAATTAAAACCTAGTGAATTTTATAGAATCTCAAATTTGGTGAAATTAAACCCAATTTCACAGTATGAAGAATATAAGAAATTGTTTATCAGTTTGCAGGAACTTGGGAGAAAACAGGGTGAGAGCAGTAGAAGAAAATCATCACATTCAACCAAAAGTCAGGCTACAATCCACTGTTCATATTTATAACTACTATGCATGAATATATCAGATTTCTACCATTTAATGAGCCTTGAAGATGATGGGAATTTTATATCAGTTTACGCATCAATGATTGTAGAGACCCTAGTGTCTATTCACATCAATGGTTCCCCATACAAAGTACCAAACCAAAGAGCCATTGAATGCTATAAAATATATGGCTCATCTCTATGTTTTTTTTTTTTTTTAATTATTGTTTAGATTTGGAAATAAAATTTAAAAACAACGTTATACCTTGGCATGCAATGTATTAAACCAGAGTTAGATGAAATCTTTTTCAATCACTCAACAATTTTGTTTTGTTCGGTTATAGAAAAATGGTTTGAATTCTCATAGAAAAAGTTCATTTATTGTTTTTTTTTTTGTATTAGTTTCTTTTTATCAATCTTATTCTTAGAAACTGTGCTCAGTGACATGTGGTAATTATTTATAAACCCATGATTTTCTTTAAGTCGACGTCAGCAAACATGAGTAATTACTGCCAGAATTTTGTATCAATCTGAGCTGCAGGTGGAGAGTTGACAGTGGAACTATTGCTGAAATACCATCAAATACAAATATATCATTTGGCGTGCCTCATATGCTAATATTGTTGTCGCCACCGTGTTCTAGTTCACATGTGCACGCTGTATGGCAATTTTACTCTTCATGATATTTGCTCAAATTCGTTATGGATTTTTTAACAATTTCAACCTATAATTTTGAATAATAATTCCAAAAATACAGAAAAAATGACATGTGCTAATTATGAATAATCCCATGACATTTTTTTCAATTTCAACCTATATTTTGAATAATAATTCCAAAAATACACATGTGAGTTTGCCAAAATGAACTATTGTTACTAGAATCTGTATTTATCGGACCGTATATAATCCCTAAAACATTCAGGCAGCATGTACAATGAAATAAGTTCAGCAGTATGTGATGTAACACTGTGGTGATTTAGGTTTTTGATCTGCCCTGTCTTACATCACACTGTGGTAATACGCAAGTTATGCACGTGGTGGTGTTATAGATTTACTGAACAGTCACTCACATTACAAGGATCAATTAAACGAGCAAACAAATCTCCCAGCATGCCCTCCCACTTCTTCTTGTAAATTCTTTCCTCCAATTGCTTCAACAGCGCTGTATGTCTTTGGTGGAATACATTGAGATAGGCAGGAAAGATAGCACTGTAAAAAGTGGAAAAAAAAGAATTCAACAAAGTTTGAAATTTCTAATATTTCCATGAATTGGGTACATAAAATGTGAAATAAATATTCAGTTATGTAAACATCTATTTCTTATCACTTGTGTTTTTTGTTTGTTTTTAGTTTATTTAGTCTATGCACAAATATTAAAACACTTGTGACACTTTCGGGCAATTGTACGAACAATCATAAAAACAAAGTAATCCTTACTTTACATCTCTAGGAGGCAGTAAGCTAGACTGTCTCAATGGCAGAGCAAAGTGCTGTTGAAGAATAGCAAGACAGGCAACATATTTCTTCTCTGTTTCCAATATCTCTTGGGCAGTCTCATGTCTTTTACTCTCAGCCAATAGCTGCTTAGCTGGAGAGGACACCCTACCATCATGAGCACCAAATGAACTGTTTCGAGATGCCCCAGAACCCTGTGATTAGAGATAAATATGACATTATTTGGTGCCATAATACTGTTATAACAATCATCAACATATGAATACAATTAAGTATTCCTAAGTTTGTAATCCATTGTCATGGCAACCATATACATGTATACATACATTATCCAGTGAACATTGGTAATATTTTTTTAATTGACAAACTTTTAAAACAACAAAAAATCAATTTCCATGTCATCATGATTTCAAATTGGGTCATACATTTGTGTACGTAAGAATTTCGAAAATTTGTTACTTCCTAAAACATATCTACGACTTAAATAAAATTAAAAAGGATTTACCCAAACAAGTCTGGCAACATATTTAAATGTTTCGTACCTCATTCCTGTTTTCTTGGTTATTTTCCGCCTTTCCATGTTGACTTCTCTGACCTGCTGATGTTTCTTTCCTAACCTCTTCATCCTCGTCAGAGGAGACACTGTTTTCAAGGCATCTACTGTGAAGTGTCTTTGTAAGAGATAACGTCAACGTGGCAGCTTGCGTAATGGACGAGTCGGATTCATAGTTCAAATTATCATCAGTCGTGAAGTCTGCACGCAAGAAAAAACAAGGAAAACAACAATGGTATGAACGTAAACATTGATATAACTACATGTATGTAGAGATAACAGGTAGCTATTAGGGTTGCTGTAGACATCTGCTTAGAATCTATGTAGTGTTTCACCTCACAAATGTATAGCTACAATGCTAGTAATATCACATTGCAGTCAGATTTTGCCCATATGATTGGTTTAATGAAACTGCTGTCCATACAGGCAATT